AAATTGTACTGTAGTTAAATCTGTATCAATATTTTCATTTTACAGCTTTTGACTTTATTTCATTCTTAGGAAGGTTTTTCTCCACTCCAAGATTATGCCCTTGTGTGTTTTCCTACTATATTTCTAGAAATATAAAAAAAAGGAAAAAAGTACAAAGTATAGTATGATAAGTAACCCTATTCCTACCATAAGGTATGTTAATATATTTTCATTTTGCAACTCCTTAAAAAAAAAATCATAGATAAAGCTAAAGTTTTCTTTGATACTGTTTTCCAAGTTTTATTCCCCCCAGGGAAAACCCTCCCATGCATTTCCTGTCACATATAGGTGTTTAATCTGCTGTAATTTACTTTTAAGTCAGGTGTAAGGTAAGACTATTTTTCTCCAGAGAAGACAAATGGTCCAGTATTGTTTATTAAATAGTTCACCACCACCCCCTCCAGTGATTTGAAACACCAACTTTACCACCAATTTAGCAGTATAGATCAACTTTTCCCTTATGTTCTTTAATTAACATGTTGTACTTTTATATTGGGAAAAGTAAATGTGAAAGAAAAAGCTTTGTGGAGTAAAAATGCACTTCTTAGTGATGGAAGCACTGTCCTCCCCATAATGAGACATGATTTCTACATTAATGAGATGTTCATACTAATTGGCACAAAACACTTTTTAAAAATGCCAGAGCAGAAGTTTATATTAAGTGACAACTGAGACACAGGAAGAAAAGGTAACAGTGGGCGGGGTGGTTGGAGAGGGCTTCCAGGAGGAGGTGGGGACTTACACTGGGCTGTGAAGGGAGAATAATCTAGCAAGGTGGAAAACTTAGTAGGGCGGACAGGAAGGCGACAGGCAAGAGGCAGATAAAAGAACAAGCATGTTTGTTGAAAACATGCTTGGGGTCACTGAAGACAGAGTCACGAAGCAGGAGTCTCAGGTTTGTGGGCTCGCCGTGGGACGTAAGGTTGGAAAGCAAAGAGAACATAAACCGGACAGCTCAGTCATCTGCAAAGCAGGGCCACAGCCTACTTCTACTGAGCAGATCAAAGTGGGTAAAGGATGGGAAATGTCTAATACTGTGCTGGCACAGGTGCAGTGAATGTTACATTAAAAAAAAAAGAAAACAAACACACAAGCTGGCTTTGGACTTAATCTTTTTGCAAAGACTGTGAGAAAACGACCCCGTTTCTCAATGTTCACTCATTCTTGCTGTATGTAGAGAATGGCTATTGTTGGACTAAGGTGTGTTTATACAGGGGTCTCTGACAGCTAAGACTACTTCCCCATGAGGTGTTACCAAAAGCCTCAAAGGTAGTGGCCATTCACTGGCATCTCACTAGGTGTGACAACCCAGCCCAGCCAATTCAGCGTGAACTGGCACATCCCTTGAACATGGAAACTGAAGGGAACCTACCCTCCCCCAGGAGACTCTGGGTCATTTCATCTGTTCAAGGGAAATACCTGCATTTTAAGGCAGAGTGGTCTCTAGAGACAGGCCTTTCTACCAAGGAGTTAGAAGGCCACCTGGTGGTAGGGCTGGCAGGGGACCAGGAGGAAGGGAGGCCTGAGAGGGCTTGGGAGTGACCTGAGTGTAGGTGAGATTTCAACAAGGTCCTGAACCTTCTAGGCCCTGCTTTCCTCATCTGTAAATGGAACCATAATGTCATTCTCACATGCTTCTTAGAATTCAGTACAATGAAGGAGGCACCTACCATACTGTAAGAGACATTTCTGTTACTTAAAAAGCCTTAATTGAATAATACAAGAATAAAAATAACAATACTTATCATCCAGTGAGGACCAAAACTGCCAAATGCTTGCCTCACTTACTCGCCACAACCTCCATTTTAGAGAAGCAAATTAGGTTCATAGAGGCTAAGCTGCATGTCCCTGTCACACAGCCTGTAAGTGGCAGAGCTGGAGCTTGGATGGGGTCTGAAGTTGGCCTCAGGGCACTCTGCTCTGTTGCCATGTACAATGTCCACTGTCGAGTTAGGTGCCTGCGCTTTGTAAACCTCCTCTCTTTGTTCTCAGTTTAAAAAAAAAAAAAATCTGAACAGGGCAGCCTATCTCACTTATGTTAGGGAAATTAAAGAAAAGGGGATTTTTGACTATATGGGGGAGGTTTCGGGGATGTGGGTGAGGTTCCTGTATATTCGTGGGGAGCTGGGGGATGATAAGAGCAATCAAACTGAGTTCAGGTTGTTCATCCCAACCTAAAGGTTTTCATCTAATGTTCTTACTATAGAAGGAAAATCTCTAAAAGGGGAAAGGGGTTTCACCTGTTAGTTTCCTAGGAGGGCTGTACCTCTGCAGAGCTGCCTCTGCTGCCACTAATGTATCAACAAGTCCCCATGTGAAACCCTCAATATCAAAGGCTTTCCAGAATGCAGATGTTGGGGGATTTGAGAGAGCTGATCTGAAAGTATACATATAGCTGGCCCTCCATATCCTCAGGTTCCGCATCCGCAGAATCAACCAACCACAGACCTAAAATATTCAGGAAAAAAAAGTTCCAGAAAGTTCCAAAAGGCAAAACTTAAATTTGCTGCTTGCCTGCAACTATTTACATAGCATTTACATTGTATTAGGTATTTTAAGTAATCTAGAGATGACTTAAAGTATACAGGAAGATGGTTTGTAGGCTATACGCAAATACCACATCATCTTATAAAAGGGACTTGAGCATCTGTGGATTTTGGTATCTTGGGAGGGGGATCCTTGAACCAATCCCTCTCAGATACCAAGGGACAACTGTACACTGTATATTATATAGCCCGGGAGAGACTGGGTAGCCCCAGTAACCAAACACATGAATGTTTCTGCAGTGAAACATATGAATACTGACATCAGTAGGATAAAAACATCATAAACAGCCTAGCTTTAGTTTATGTTAGGTTTTGTTACCAAATGAGTTTGGTGGTAGGCTGATGAAAAATGTTTGGTTCTCGGAGTGTTTCTGAGTTTCAGAACTGTGGGTGAAAGAGTATGGGTCTGTTGATAACCACAGGAACAATGGCCAGTATCTAGAGTGTTTATCATGTGCCAAGTGCTCTAATTATGTACTGTGTCAGCTGATTCTCAAAACATACGTCACAGCATGGGTGCTTTGAACACACGCATTATTACTGTATGATTCTATAAAGTATCACACAGGTTAGAGCATAGGCAGTCTAGTTAGGCTGCCTAGGATACAACCCTTGCTCTTAATAGCTGTGTGACTTTGGCAAAGTACTTAAACTTCTCTGTGCTGTTTCCTCATCTGAGAAATGGGGGATGATGTTAGTACTTATACCTTCATAGGGTAGTTGTGAGGATTAAATGAGTTGCTTTGTGAGAAGTGTCTGGCACACAGCAATGGTTCCTGTTATTTAATTTTGCAGATGGGCAAATGAAGCATCAGGCAAGTTTAGAAACTTGCCAAGAATACACAGCTATTAAGTGTGGAGCTGGGATTTGAACCCAGGCAATGTAACTGCAGAGAGTACCCTCTATCCTGCTTTTCACACTATACGCAAACAACCAGTCAAGAGACAAAGTAGCTACTAATCTAGAGAGATGTGTCATTTAAATACTAGTTGCTGTTTGGGGAATGCTGGGCTCTTCAGACAATGGTAGCTCAGTAATGTAAAGGCACAAATGACAGCCACAAGCCAACTTGGTCAACTATTTCCCTAAGTCCCATGACCAAATAACTAGCTTATTTTTCAACCATTGGCCTTCATCTCACACCCCACCAGTTGCTCATGACCTTGTTCCCCACGAAGCAGACTCACCATCAGGGCCCTGGCGGGCAGCAGCATGCAGCGCTGTGTCCCCGTGGCGGTCCTGGTGGGCAGGGTCAGCCCCAAGCCGAAGAAGCAGGCACAGGGCAGGGGCATCGTGGCGGGCGCAGGCCCGGTGCAGTGGTGGAGGCTGCCCAGCATCTACATCAAGGCCTGGGTGTCGCTGGAGGAGGGCTTGGGCCCGGACCAGCCGTCCTGCAGACAAATAACGACGGAAGCGACGCTCTCGGCGTTGGCGTCGGGAAGTGGAGGCCATGGAACTCTTGGGCTGAGGAAGAAGGATAAACAGGCAGCAGTCAGGACCCCAGCCTTGGATGGTCCCTCCCCCTCCATCTCTGATATTCCCTCTGTTTCTCCCTTTGGTTCCCCATTTCTTCTTACATTTTCAGCAAGAGATGAGGCCAGTCCTAACCCTCATCCCTTTTCCAGGTGATAGGTTTGAAAACAATTTTGAGGGGAGCTGGGGTCACTTTTTTTTAATGTGAAATTTGAGAAAAGGATAAATGATTACTTAGAGGCTCATTAGTCCAGGTAAATTTTTAATAAAGGACTTTGTTATATAATAAAGACAAATAGAAACTGATGGGGGAAATTTTTATCAATAGAAACCTGAATTTTAAAAAGTCACAATTTCAAATAATGATCTAGAAATTGAATATAATGTACCCGGCAGACAGATGTAGAGGTTTCTCCCTCTGGGACTTGGGGGGAGGGGTTACTCATCAGACCTACCCCCCGCCCCCTAAGTACCCCCGGAGCAGTAGGCCCGAAGCCTGTGTTTAAGACGCTCCGAGGAAGGGAGGCGGGAAGGGCGGAGACACTCTAGACTGACGGAAATGGCGCAAGCCGAGACGCAGGTAAAGGACGGAAATGAACTGTGAGGCACGTTACCGGATGCCGTTCCTCCCCGAGGGGGCGGGAGGTGTTTCCTTGGCCTTAGCCTCCGGGGGGAAACTAGGGAACTTAAGATAAAGGGTCCGTCTGAAACCGGAAGACTGGACGACAGGCGAGGAAAAGGAAGAGCAAGGGCTCTTTGGAGGTTTAACCCTGCTTCCCCCTACTGGGAGGAGAGAGGAGATGGTTCAGTGATAGGCGAAAAAATGAGAAGAGAGAGAAAACGGGGGAGATAAAGACAGGATAAAAATCACAATGAAAATGAAAAATCAAAACCACAGTGAGGCCAAGAAAGGGACAGATCATAAAAGAGAAAAACACAGGAAGCAAAAGACAAGGAAAACAACCGCAGGACAAAGCACGTGAGGTGAATGGAGAAATTTGGAATTGGGAAAGGTGTAGAAAAAGGAGATGGAAATGGGAGGGAGAAAAAGGAAAAGAAGTTGGAAGAATTCAGAGAAGCCCAGCACACTCTATTCCCAACACACCACGCGTGATAATTTCCTTACCTCCTCACCCCATTCTCAATCCCTCTATGCCTCCTTCTCTCTCAAATACTCGTCTCTTCTCGGCCCCTGCCCCCATTCCTAGACCTTCCGACTGGGAAAGCCCTGCACCTGCTGTGAAGTTAGCAGGCAGCTTTGGACCTGGTCTTTGCTGCCCCCAGGCGGTCCTTCTGGATACTGCCAGAGTGAGAGGTGGGAGAGGAGGACCAGCCATCAATGGGAGGATCAGTTTGGGGGAGACACCCGGTGCAGGAGGCTGAGCGAAAAGGGGAGCACTAAGACCCAGGGGTAGTGGAAGGCTGCAGCAAACAGCTGGAGGAGGAGGCGGTGTGGGGGGAGGGGAAAAGGGGGAGCCATCTGGTACCTTGGTAGCTTCCGAAACGGCATCGGTCGTAACGACAGAAATGGCCAGTCAGTCCCAGGGTATCCAGCAGCTCCTGCAAGCCGAGAAGCGGGCGGCTGAGAAGGTGGCAGATGCCAGAAAGAGTGAGTCTCCTCATTTCTCCCTTAGGAATCTGGAGAGAAAATTGGGGGTGGAAGGACAGAAAACATTTGAGTCCTTAGGATAACCCAAGGCTGGTGGGGCGGGGGGAGGGAGGCTGGGGGCGCTTATTAGGAGGGAAGAAATGGGTGGGTGTCAGAATCTAGTTCTTGGCTGGCTGAGAGAAGGCACTAACTTTTTGGGAGGGACTGACCCCTGCTCTCACGTTTTGTGTGTGTGGGGTCTACCCCCACTTTCAGTCCTTTCTCCTGCCTCCAGGGAAAGCCCGGCGTCTGAAGCAGGCAAAGGAGGAGGCACAGATGGAAGTGGAGCAATACCGCAGAGAGAGAGAGCAGGAATTCCAGAGCAAGCAGCAGGCAGTGAGTCGTGGGGGAGGCTGGGACGGGACCCCAGGGTGCAAGTTGGTGGGTATATCTGGTGAGGTGTGTACAGGGTGATTCCACAAGAAAATAAGGTACTAAAGGGCTGAAGGGGACCTGATGAAGACCATGATATTGGTCAAGCTTTGTGATATGTAAGAGCGTCTAGGAGTTTTGAAGGACTTGTACGGCTTGTGGAAGTGGGGGGATTGCCACAGTCTCTGTAGAGTATGATGATATTTGGGGTGGAGGGCCGAGTTTTATGGGCATGGGTGGTGAGGTGGTGGGGATGGTACGGTCTGTTGTAGGGTGATGCTGCATGTCAGGTCTTAGGGGAGAGGGCATTATGTTGGTCTCTTCAGTGTCTAGATATTTCCACGGATGGGAGTGGTTTTGGAGAGGGCCTTTCTTCCTGGTCTTGCTCCAGGACCCTTCCCTCCACATGCGTGGATGCTTCTTTCTCTGTTTCTGCTTTCTCCTTTCTCTTTTCCACCCTTTCTCCCACCCCCCAGGCCATGGGCTCCCAAGGGAATCTGTCAGCTGAGGTGGAGCAGGCTACAAGGCGCCAGGTGCAGGGCATGCAGAGCTCCCAGCAGAGAAGCCGCGAACGTGTCCTGGCCCAGCTTCTTGGCATGGTCTGTGACGTCAGGCCCCAGGTCCACCCCAACTACCGGATTGCTGCCTAGGACCCACCCTAGGGCCTGACTCCTCCTGCCAGTTCCCTCCTGCAAAGAAATCCCCAAGTCAAAATCAACTCCCACCATAATCCTTTCTCTCCCTTGCATTCCCTAGAAATTCTAGAAAGCAGGATCCAATAATTCTCCTGTGAAATTTATAAATATCCTGCTCAGACCTGAATCTCCTTATTGTTCTTTCACTGGGAGCTTGGAAACTGCCAAGTCACCCTCACCCAGCCCCTCTGTGAAATTTGTAGCATGGAGAAGTAGGGATGTGAAAACACTCTGACTTCAGAGCCTGGCAGGCTCGGGTCCCTCTTCTGACCCTGCCACTTGCTGGCTGGGCAACAAGAACAAGCTACTTAAACTGTAACCCCAGTGTCCTTTGCAAGGTTGGAATAATAATAATAATGCCTACCTTGCAGGGGTGTTGCATTGGTTAGGAATCATTCTATAAAGAGCTTAGCATGGTTTCCAGCATGTAGTAGCTGTGATTCAATAAATGGCAAACCTGTGATATTATTACTACTCTCTGCCCACCTACCAAAACTTAAACATAGCTGTTTTCTCACTTCTGTCTGTGGCTTTGTAATTCTACTCATTCATTATGTGACCCTAGAAATTCTCTAAAAAATTGGTTCTTCCCACCTCTCTTTCCCCAGAGACCTTATTATCCCTGAAAAGATAGATTAAATCATGGCCTCATTTAGCCTCTCTTCTGTGGTTCCAGGAAGATGTTTGCATTTCTTAGCCTCTCTTTTTGTCTCTCTTAAGTTGGTCTTTCTCTTTATTGGATTTCCCCCTTTTCCTGTTTCCCCAAAGACCCATCAGATGCTTATTACTGCTTCCTGAGATCTAAAGTGATGCATGGCCTTCCTTTCTACATCCTCAACACCTTACTTTCCCTTTGTAACAATAAAAAAGTGTCAATAAAATAATTATGGGCAAATCAATTGCTGGGTGGAATCAGCCTCCTTTTGCTTCATCATTTCTCATTTTCAGTCACTCTTGTTCCTTGTTTATGTATTCCCCAAACACCTAAAAGGTGTTGGAGCTTTGAGAAACAAAAGCAAATGGTACATTATTTTTTCTCTAAAGTGAGAAACACGTGGCTCCTCCTTTGTGAACCTGAGGACTATAGATGGTAACTGTAGAGAACAGCTGGGGTGTAGGAACAAGCATGCTGCCCCTTACCTTGCTTTATTTTCCTTCATAGCACCTATTGATACTTGACATGTTTATGTGTTGTCTCCCCTGTTATGTGAACTCTGTGAGGACAGGGCTGTTCACTGCTGTGTCCCCAGATCTCAGGATAGCATTTGGCACAGGACAGGCAGTTGATAAATACTGTTGAAAAAGATTGATATTGTGGGTTTGAAAAACTGCGCTTCTGTAACATCATCCTTGGATCCCTGTTATTTCTTTTGGCCACAGAAAACGAGCCTACTTCACCAAGCACTTGAACCAGTGAGGTAATCTGTAGTGTGTATTTATTAACCAGACTCTTTAAGCAGGGAGTCAGGATACAGTAGAGAATAGAGAGGTGTTTACATCCTGGCTCTGTCACCTTACTAGCTGTATTACTTTGGACATGTTGCTTTATTTCTCTGAATCTGTTTGCTTGATATAGCATGGGAATAATGGTACACCTTGGTGTTAAATGGTTGTGATAACAGGTAAAGGGCCAAACGTCTGTTGTCAGTTTTGTTAAGTCACATCTGACTTCTGTAGCATACAAAAGCGGGGCCAGATATATCAAATGTTTCATTCAGGAAAAAAAATCCAGGCTGAACCAAGGGTCTATTGGGGGCAGGGCTAAGCACATTCCGGTAGAATTAACAACACTTATAAAAAGTTATTTAACTCTCAAGCCCTAGCGTTTATCGTTAACATTTGGGGCAGAATCTAGACCCTGTCCCCCACTCAGTGGATTCAGAACCCCTTCCTGATTCCAGCCCACGCCCACGAACCTCAGGACTCTTAAGGCATCAGCTACCTCGGCCAACATTAGGCAAATGCCGTCCACCGGCTCCAGGGCTGGTGAAAGGGTAGGCTAGGACTCGTGAGCACGACTCACTTCCCACACCTGGGGCCGATCGTTCCCTAGCTCCAGCGCCAACGTCCCCAGGTCACCTTGACTACCGGACCAAGGACCCCGTGGGAACTCGAAATCCCGCCACCTTGGGTCCTCCTGCGCCCACGGAGGGGTGCCCAGAGAGAAGGCCTGTGCGGCAAGAACGTAAATGAAGAGAGAGGCGTGGAAAAGAGCAGGACAAGAGAAAAAAGATAACAATGGGGAGGATGCTAGTTTCCTTTATGCCTTTTGTTACTGGTAGTAGCGGAGGAGTTAGAAGTGGCTTAAAAAAATTTTTTTTTCCACACAGGCATTTTCTAAAGGCAACCCTAGAGCGCGCGGAACTGTAGAACCGTGGAAGGTCCTTCTTCCGGTTCCTTACGTCTGCGCGGTCGTAAGGCGGGAGGCCGGGGTAGAGGGAAGCCGGGAACCGGAAGTGAAGGCAGATTCCTTCCTTCGTCGCTGTTACCGCCGCCATACGCCTTCGCCTTGCTCAGGTAAGCTTTGGCCTTCGGCACCATCCGCCTCCATCTGCGTTTCTCTGCGGCCATCCTGTCGCACGGCCTCCTGATAACCCTTGTACAGGCTATGGTCTGGTCGCTGGAGTCTGATTGGGTTGTTACTTCCATCACTTGCATCCCTCGAGATCAAGAAACTTCGGGGGGAGGTAGGGAAGCCGGGGGGCCCCATCCAAGATGGTGGCCCCGGCGCCATTGTGCTTCCTTTGCTCCTCGCTCTTTCGGTGGGACCCTCGGTTACCTCAGAACCCAGCGACAGTGAGAGGCGGCGTTAGGTGTCTTCTGGTCCTGGGCATTTGCAGAGGGCGGGGCTCTTCTCACTTTCCCGCTTATCTCGGTCCGCGGTGGGAATGGAAGGAGTCCCGACTTGTGGGCCTAGTTGGACTTTTCTCACCACGGACTGCCCACTATTATCTGGAGTGTTTTCCAAATGTTTACCAGTGGTGTCGTTGTGTGTTTTCGGAAATGAGCTACACCTAGGAGTAACATAATGGTGATGGAAGGTCACTTGGTAAAGCTTCTGTTAGCCGGAACGAGGATACATCTTTCTTAATTATTGTGTTCTATTTTATTCATCGTATGATGGAGGAGTGGGTTTTTTCCCGGCCGAGCCATTTCTCTAGGCCTCTCTCTCCGTCATTAATACACAAGGATTTCTTAAGCTCCAGAAGGTTATTGAGGAGTGGGAGGCTGGAATGCTGCTAGAGGTGGTTGGCAGCCACATGATGTTTTCATTTTGAAAAGTGAGCGCTTTGCGTAATGACGACCGTAATCTATCACCCTTGACTGATGGCTGCTGTCGACACCTTGAGATTATAGGGAAAGCACAAGGTCTTCCGTTGAGGACTTTTCGTTTTGTCACTTTCATTCTCCATTTTAAGTCATTAGTAGTATTCTGTTTTTCAGACGTGTATTTTTTTTTTCCTTGTTACTGTGACAGACCAGGAGTTTATAAGTCGGTTTTGCCCTTCCAACTTTCCGGTTTCTCCTTCTCCGATCCTATCTTTTTGGGGACTTATGTCCTAACCACTTCCCCTGGGCCCACTTTTCCCATTCCCAGTATTATGTTTGCCTTTCGCTTTTATGTCTTGTGCTTCTTTATTATTATTTTTTTTCCAGGTAAATGTTTCCTAGTTCAGGGAAAGTGGAAAGAGTGTGGGGATGGAAAAGATGGTGAAGGCTCTGCTCATGACTGATGAGTTTTCTCTTTTTTTTTCCCCAGCTCTTCTGTCAGAAACCATTGTGTTTCTTTGCCTCTCCTGTTCCTCAAGCCGCCACTTTCCTCCTCTGTCTTCCCTTATTCTGCGTGAACTCATCCAGAGACCCCTCCCCTTCTCCCCCTGCCGGCCCAGTTATGGCAGAGAACGATGTGGACAATGAGCTCTTGGATTATGAAGATGATGAGGTGGAGACAGCAGCTGGGGGAGATGGGGCTGAGGCCCCTGCCAAGAAGGATGTCAAGGGCTCCTATGTCTCCATTCACAGCTCTGGCTTTCGTGACTTCCTGCTCAAGCCAGAGTTGCTCCGGGCCATTGTTGACTGTGGCTTTGAGCATCCATCAGAAGGTAAATTTTCTGCTGGGCATGGAGTATTCATTAGGCTCTTTAAGGATACAGGAAACCGTATGGTCATGGTCCCTCAGGTGATACAGACTTATATTCAGGATAGACCAGGAAATAAGTACCAAAAACTATTTTAGCAGTAGAAGAGGTTTATATAAGTTGGTCTTTCATTCATGATAGCATGTAAGTGCTAGTGATCTAAAAGCAACTTAGAGGGGCTTTTTTTCTTGCCTGTGTTAAATTTTGTCTCTCTGACTTTTAGTTTAAAATTTCCAGAGAGGAGCTGGTTGGACCCTTGGGCCAGGCCAACTCTGGTCTCTGGAAACCTTTATGGCTGGCTTTTGGGTCATGTACCAAGTTGTTCATTTTGTTCAAGGTTGTTGCAGGGTTATGTGCCCCAAAACATGATAATCTAAGTATGAGAAATGGCTTGTGGCAGGCACTCAAAATTCATGGATTGCTACAGATGAAGGAACATTCAGACAGAATCAGAAGCACCTAAGGCGTCCAATTGGTAGATGCAAGAGGGTTGTTAGCAGGACTTTGGGCCCTGGAGCTGGAAGAGGCTATGTTAGAAGGAACTGGGAAGGTCTGATTTGGGAATCACTTTGATTGAGGGGGCAGAGAGGTAGAAAGGGTCTGGAAATTGACAAGAACAACTTAAGAATTGACTGGTGAGAAATGGGTTTGGCCTGGTGAAAAAGGTGGTGGAGTTCTCTGGAAACTAATTTATCTTTTTTTTCCCCTACTTCTAGTCCAGCATGAATGCATCCCTCAGGCCATCCTGGGAATGGATGTCCTATGCCAGGCCAAGTCAGGCATGGGAAAGACGGCGGTGTTTGTGCTGGCTACACTGCAACAGCTGGAGCCAGTTACTGGGCAGGTACACTTGGGGAGAGTGCTGGGGAAGGCATTTTGGCTAGTAATGTTCAGGAAGGGTATTTTCGTCTCTGCTACATGATGCATTCAGAGCCAGGAGTGCTTGTTGTTAAGATGACCTTTATCATCCTTGACAGATAGGCATGAGGATATTCTGTAGTAATCACGGGGTTAATGATTTAGATCCAGAATTGTAGTCACCTGTGATCTGCTGGGTGTGCTTTTGTGACATACCTGGTGAAGGGATATACTGTATGTGTGTCTCCGTCTACTTCCCCCCAGGTGTCTGTACTGGTGATGTGTCACACTCGGGAGTTGGCTTTTCAGATCAGCAAGGAATATGAACGCTTCTCTAAGTACATGCCCAACGTCAAGGTAAGCCAGGGTAAAGAGACCTGGGGGAGTGAGGGTGTGGGGAGTTGGAGGCATTGGAGACTTGTTAGATCAGCAGTCTTCACATCCCACAGGTGTTAAATACCTATACACAAATCTCAGTTGCATGTAGTACATAGTAAGTTTGTGCAACTTAGGTGTATAAGAGGTTTATATTCTAGGGCTCATTTGGGTATGCGTTATACTTTCAGAGATGTCTGCTGTATTTTGATTTTGGAGTAGCTTTATAGTTTGCCTTGGTTTTTAACATGTTTTATAAATATGCTTGTGCATTGATATTCAGGGTGTGGTTCCCAGACCTGTGGTTTCAGTGTCATTTGGGAGCCTGTTGGAAATGTAGATTGCATGAGTTCCACTCTAGTCCTACCGAGTATGAATATGTGTTCTGACAAGATCCTCGGGTAATTGGGGTTTGAGAAGCATAAACATATGCTTGATGTATATGACTTTGTACCCTCCTTGGGTGAAAGAAAAACAGTATTTTTGTTCAGATTGTTGTAATTTTCCTCATAATTGATTTTTAATTT